ATGGCCCCCAAACAAACAAAATATATTACATGAGGGGCTGGAGTGATAGCACAGCGGTTAGGGCGTTTGCCTTGCACACAACCGACCCGGGTTTGATTCCCAGCCTCCCATATGATCCTCTGAGCACCGCCAGGGGTAATTCCTGAGGGCAGAGCCAGGAGTAACCCCTGTGCATCGCCAGCTGTGACCCAAAAAGAAAAAAATATATTTGACATGAAAAGCATATGATAAACACACACAAAAAAGGAGATAGGGGCTGGAGCAATAGCACAGCGGGTAGGGCGTTTGCCTTGCACGCAGCCAACATGCCCGACCCGGGTTTGATTCCCAGCATCCCATATGGTCCCCCGAGCACCGCCAGGAGTAATTCCTGAGTGCATGAACCAGGAGTAACCCCTGAGCATCGCCGGGTGTGACCCAAAAAGAAAAAAAAAAGGAGATAGATACTATCTTTTTTTTTTTTTTTTGCTTTCTGGGTCATACCCGGCGATGCTCAGGGGTTACTTCTGGCTCATGCACTCAGGAATTACTCCTGGTGGTGCCCTTTTTGGATGCTGAGAATCGAACCTGTGTCGGCCATGTTGGCTGCGTGCAAGGCAAACGCCCTACCCGCTGTGTTATTGCGCCAGCCCCGATACTATCTCTTCTTGTAAGTGTGAAGTAGATACTAATTCATCCCGAATATTTTATTTTTTTCTTTTGGGCTACACATGGGAGGGCTCAGGGGCTTAACTCCTGCCCCCGTGCTCAGGGATCACATTCGTCCCATCTGCTCTTCCTGAGGCCCTGCTGTACCCCACCCCATATAAACAGCCTTCCTGACAGTGCCAAGGCACCAAGATTCTCCATTCTCTACACTGGTTGGTCTCCTCCATAAATAACCAACAGACCCACTTTTCTTGTTGCTGGCCCCAAGTGCTTCCTTTGGAACCAGGAACCATTACACACAGGCTCTTAGCAACCGACACTACTGTACAACGGGTATGTGTCACCTCACAGGGTGAGAGATTACCCAGGAAGTCTCCAACACCCTTGTTTGCTGAATCGAAGAGCCTTTATTAACCTGCAGGGCTGCCGAGTCTGAGAGCAAGGGTCTCAGTGCAAGGAACAGCCCAAACCGGAGTCCAGGCAAGGTTCGAAACATTCCTTATCACATTCTGCTTGACTGCATCAATCAACCTTCTCATTTGCTAAAGCAAGCACAGTCACAGTACAGAAGTCAGACACTTGAAGTTAGCCTGTGTGTAAACACAAAAGCGGTCTATCTCTCCCGACGCCTGCGTTCGGTAATCTCAGGCCTTCGGTAATCTCAGGCCGTTTCCCTCCACTCCAGGGAGGTCGATGGCTATCCTACGCCTCCCCCAGCCCACTCTTACAGTCTCATTATATTCCATAAGTTTATGTCATGGAGGGCCAGGTTCTCTCAGACCTATCACCCCTGGTTCTCTCAGACCTGTTACCCCCAGGTTCTCTCAGGCCTGTGTTCCCCCTAGAGAGCCCCGAAAATCTCCTTATATAGATCATGGTACCTTTAAAGGGCACAATGCAGTGATGTCATCAAAAGGAGTTACAGAAAGAACACTGAGGCAGCAAAACATAGATTGTTTCTTTACATCTGCAGGCCAGTAATTTTGGCCTTCAGAAAGAAGATACAAAAAAACCAAAACTGAAAACTTTCACTAGCACTTTTCACAAGCTACAAGCACTTGGATTTGCATCCCAAAGACTAGTCTGGCTAGAGCCTGGAATCTACATCCCAAAGATCAGGCCTGGCTAGCACCTGAGATCTGCATGTCTAAGACCAGCCAGGTTTCTGTGAGAAAAGGAAAACTGCCCCTTACAATATACTGAAATTATTTACTGAAGGCAGTTTGAAGGGGGAAAATGTTCAGCTTCATCCAAACTAGTCAGGACACACAAGAAATCTTGCCCATTTACATGGGTCCCTATGTTCCTGCCCGTTGCGTGGTGCAGTCTACGTGGGCTCACCCTGGCAGCTCTGTCCAGTCCCAACAGATTAGGGTAACAATTACACATAGGTGTGGTCACAATCAATAGAGATAGTTCTTTTTCTCTGGGATAGCTGCTTCTAGGACAGATTCTCATATAGCAGATCGACCCACCCTAGAACAGAATCCCCTGGGTGTGTTTCTCTTCTCCTTGTCCAACAAACATATAAGCATATATAATATAAATCATTTTGTAAAGACACAGTAAGAAATACTGTCACTGTCCTCCCATTGTTCATCGATTTGCTTGAGCGGGCCCAGTAACGTCTCCATTGTGACCCTTGTTACTGTGTTTGGCATATTGAATACATCACGGGTAGCTTGCCAGGCTTTGCCTTGCAGGCGAGATACTCTCGGTAGCTTGCCAGGCTCTCTGAGATGGGTGGAGGAATCGAACTCGGGTCAGCCATGTTGGCTGCGTGCAAGGCATATGCACTACCGGGTGTGCTATCGCTTCAGCCCAAGAAATACTCTAAGCTTATAGAATTGCTCTCCTAGGGCCATCTCGATGTCAGACTACAGTGGTCAGACCAGATAGTCTTTCCTATCCCCAGCAGGGTCCTAGTCTCATCGTTACTTTTGGATCATGACAGCATTTGTCTACGATAAAACTCTTATAGTTAAGAATTGTGGCACTTTGGCCTGGCTCATTTTGATGCCAGGGTAGCACATAGCTTACCGCTTGCCCTGGTTCCATCCACTCCCTTCTTGGGACCCTGCTTTTGGGGGCGCTAGGAAGTGAGGGCAACTGAGGCTTAAGTTGAGAAAGCAGATGCCTGGGAATGAATAATATTCAAAGCCAATTAAATCCTAAGTTACAAAGCATAATATGAACTATCTTCCTGTACCTATACAAAAAAGGACATTGCATTAAACTATTCAAAAGACATAATGATTAACTTACAGTACAAGTTCAGCGTCCTAGAAGGATCTGGCCTTACAAATTAACAGATTCTGACTAGGGGAAAAGCTGATTACCTGGTTGAAGTGAAGAACATAGAAAGGGTTACAGATAAACAAAGGAATGGGAGTGACTCGGGAGCACTGTGATGGGTGCAACCTGATAAACTTAAGCTCCTTGTGGCAAGGAAGAAAGGACAAATCAATTCTTATCCTACAAGCCTGGAGGGGTTGAATTTTTTTCTACTTGGCAGCTAAAAAGAGCTGTGTGTGATAGCTAATTAGTCTGAACTTGGGTGTTGCCTGGGCATCCTGTCCCTGCATCCTTGGAGTGTCCTTGGAGGGTTTCATCCTGCTTCCCAGCTCTTACCAGCCACCTGCTTCTCTAACTTAGGGTCACCTCATCCCATATGTAAGAAATGAGTGTCTAAAGGGGGTGGGAAAAATGTTGCAAGCCTTACCCACAAAGTTACTGCCTCGGGCTGGAGTGACAATATAACGGGGAGGGCATTTGCCTTGGCAGCTGACCCAGGTTCGATCCTGGCATCCCATATAGTCACCCGAGTACTGCCAGGAGTAATTCCTGATCGCAGAGCCAGGAGTAACCCTTGAGCATCGCCAGGTCTGAGCCAAAAAGGAAAAAAAAAAAGTGATTTACTTGCATGCAGCTGACCCCACTTTATCCCCAGCTCTGCTTACGGTTTCCTAAGCACTAAGGGTGACGACCCTCGAGGACAGTGCCCGAGGTATCTGAGCACACGCTTGGCCAAATCCTACCTCCCCCTCGCCCCAACCTTCTTGACTTCAGTTATTCCCCACAGGCACACGTAGGTTAACGGTTCCGAAAACACGGTGCATGCATGTATTCTGGAAGTGACACTTCAGCACACGGACGGAGACCGTCAGGGCCCGGGTCTCTCCCGCCCGGCGTGGAGGGCGGCGCAACGAGTGCCCGACCCAGCCGGGCCGCATCCGCAGTGGGCGAGGGCACACACGCGGGGCCTGCAGTGCGGGCGGGGTGCACCGCCGTGCCACCGTCAAGTCACGTCCGACGGTCGCCAGGTACCGGCCTTGCTCTGAACCTGGGCGGCGCTCCTGCCCCTGCCTGCATGCTGCCTCATAAGGGAAAAAAAAATCAGACAAACCTCAATCAAGGGAATTTTATAGAACAGCTGACCAATGCCCCATCTAACTGCCGAGGCTCAAGCCAAAAGGCAGGGGCTGGAGCATCAGCACAGCGGGTAGGGCGCTTGCCTGGCACGCGGCCGACCCGGGTTCGATTCCCAGCATCCCATATGGTCCCCCGAGCACTGCCAGGAGCAATCCCCGGGTGCAGGAGCCAGGAGGAACCCCTGAGCATCACCGGGTGTGACCCAAAAAGCAGAAAACAAAAAGCAAAGCCAAAAGGCAGCCGTCCCGGGGCTGGAGCAATAGCACAGCGGGGAGGGCGTTTGCCTTGCACGCAGCCAACCCGGGTTCGATCCCCAGCATCCCATATGGTCCCCCGAGCACCGCCAGGAGTAACTCCTGAGTGCAGAGCCAGGAGGAACCCCTGGGCATCGCGGGTGTGGCCCAAAACGCAGAAAAAAAAAAAGCCAAGAGGCAGCCGTCCTGACGCCGCCTGGCCGAGCCGGGAGAGCCAGGCGGGCCGCGTCCGGGTGGGCAGACGGCCGCGGGCATCGCCAGGGCTAGTGCATCCCTGGTGCTTCACCGGGGCGGCCGCGTCGGGGCGGCACCGCGCAGGCGCGGGCGACGGCGGGAGGAGGGGGAGGGCCTCCCCAGGGCCGGGACTGCGCAGGCGCGGGCGACGGCGGGAGGAGGGGGAGGGCCTCCCCAGGGCCGCGACTGCGCAGGCGCGGGCGACGGCGGGGGAGGGGTGAGGGCCTCCCCAGGGCCGGGACTGCGCAGGCGCGGGCGACGGCGGGGGAGGGGGGAGGGCCTCCCCAGGGCCGGCACTGCGCAGGCGCAGGCGGCGGCGCGTCCGGCCGGCCGGCATCGCGCAGGCGCGGCGGCCCCGGCGGGCGAGCGCGGAGCCCGCGCGCGGCGCCGTGCGTCCGTCCGTCCGTCCGTCCGTGCGTCCGCCGATCGCTGGGCGCGCGGCCCCTGCTCCCGTCGGTTCCGGTATGGCGCGGGCGGGGCGGCCGGGCGCCGGCGGGCGCTGAGCGGGCCATGGGGGCCCCGGGCCGGGCCTGGTGTCTGCGGCGCCTGGGCGCCGACGCCGAGCGGCTGCTGCTGGAGGACGGCGCCGAGGTGCGCGGGGCGGCGCCGGGCGGGCGGGGGGCGGGGGGCGGGGGGCGGGACCCCCGGCCGGGGCGCCCGACTCCGCGGGCCCGGAGCACGTCGGGCCGCGGGGGTCGGGCAGGGCGGGCCGAGGCCGCCGGACGGCGGGAACGGAAGGCGCTGGCCCGCGGGCGGGGACCCCCGCCGCGGCAGCCGCGGGGGGCGTCTGCTGCGCCCCGCCGCCTCCCGGTGCGGCCGGAGCCCGCGGGGCGCAGCAGCCCCCCTCCACCCCCGGCAGGCCGCGTCGAGACCGGGTAGCCGCTAGGGAAAGCGGAGAGAGGTGGGTTTGGTTCTGTTTTTTTTCTTTTCGAGTCACACCTGGAGATGCTCAGGGGTTCCTCCTGGCTCCTGCGCTCAGGGATTACTCCTGGCGGTGCTCAGGGGACCGCATGGGATGCTGGGAATCGAACCCGGGTCGGCCGGGTGCAAGGCAAACGCCTTACTCGCTGTGCTATCGCTCCAGCCCCGGATTTTGTTCTTTATCTCGTTTGTGATCCGTCCCCTGCGATGCCCCGGCTGGCTCTGCTCAGGATTCTCTCCTGGTGGTGCTGGGGACCACCCGGAACGCCAGGGGTCGAACCCAGGTCAGCTGCGTTGCAAGGCAGACCCCTTCCCCATTGTACTGCCGCTCCGCAGCACTCTTCCCCCCCCCCAAATTACCCCCCAAATTTTAAGAGACTTGATTCCTCCTTCCTCAAGGTTACTTTCAAAACCCCAAATGATCCCAGCAGCCGAGCTCGTGGGCCCCCTTCAGCCTCTCTCCCACACTTTGTGATTCTCTTCCTCTAGCATCACTCACTACGTCACCAGTGGGTCCCCCAAGTCAGAGGACAGGTGGGTCTGCAGCCTTCGGTACTGCGAGGAAGGGCGGGGGGAGAGAAGGCTTACTGGAAGGCTGGGGTTGAGAAGCACCAGGGGCCCCTCTGCCTCCAGGTCTCTCTCCTGTCCAGGTGTGGCTTTGTGTCCCTGTTGGGCAGTTCTGCTTTGGAGTGGAGCACTGCCCTCTCCAAATCCACGAGCCTTTAGGAAGGTGACAAGTGAAGAGATGGATACTATGTGGTGGTCACCGAGTCCTGTAACGTACTTGATTCATCCAAGTCCTGTGCCTCGGCCGTTCCTTATGTTTGCTGGGGTTTCTCATTCTTTTCCATTCTGTTTGCTGTGAATTTATACCTTCAAACAGCTTGGTAGCTTTGCGGGTGGGGAAGATACCACAGCAGAATTGAAGCAGACACCTCAGCAAGGCATGAGGACTGGAAGGCATGCACTCCTGGACATGCTTTATTTTTCTGATTTTATTTTTATAAAGTTGTTCACAGTAATTGATTCAGTATTCCAACATCAATCCCAACCACCATTATACCTTCCCACCACCATCATTTTGAATTTTCCCACCACCTCCCAAGCCTGCCCCTAAAGCAGGTCCTAAATAACTTAATTTTGTATTGCTTGTTATGAATAATCCATTAAAAGTGATCCAGATAAGTTTCCTCAGAGGAGAATGTGAAGATAGTTGTATCTCACCCTGGTGCCATTAAGCCCTTGTATAAGAGATCACTAACATGTTATGGGGTGAGTGTTGTGTGCTAATATTGACTTATTTAATGTTTGATCAAGATCAGTTGCCTTCTACCTTACACCCCTTCTCCTGGACAGATTTTAAACTCTTGGGTGACTTATATGGCTCCACATCCGTGGGGAGAACCACATAAAAGAGTGGATGGTGAATTTGAGTGTGAAGACTGACTTGCCACTTGGGGTCCTATATGGAGGGGCAATTTGGCAGCTGGCTCTCTGAAAGGTGGGGGACCATATGTGGGGTCGGCCACATGCAGGGCAAGCACCTTACCTGCTATACTGTGTTGCAGGTATTGCAGGTAAGTTATATAATTTCCACTTTGACCTCAATAATGCCTGTTTAGGGGCTGGAGCAATAGCACAGCGGGTAGGGCATTTGCCTTGGACGCGACCGACCTGTGTTCGATTCCCAGCATCCCCTGGGGTCCCCGGAGCACCGCCAGGAGTAATCCCTGAGTGCATCAGCCAGGAGGAACCCCTGAGCATCGCCGGGTGGGACCCAAAAAGCAAAAATAAAAACTGTCCATTTCGAACATGGGAGGTTTCGTAGGTAGACCTCTTTTGCATTTATCTATCTGTATGTACTGTATTTCTCATTCATCTACTCATGTTTATTGTATTTCTTATTCATCTATCTGTATTTGCTTTCCAGAAAATAGTCTAGAAATGACAACCCTACTAGCCACCCACAAATATTAGAATTCAGGATGCTTTATTAGAAATAAAGTAACTTAAATAGAAATTCTTATGGAATAAGGACACCAGATAAATCCTTGCACATTGCATTCGAAATGTTTTATATATAAAGATCAAAGGATCCTCTGGAATTAACTGAATTTCTGGTTTTGAAAAAGAGGCTTTCCAATAGAAAACAAATTGTCTACGGTTGCCTTTTTGGCAGATCTGAGTGTTGGGGCAAAGTCCCAAATAATAATGGTAGCTCTTGTATCAAAATACTGAATGTAATCAAAGTAGAGAGTAATGTGAAAATCATCTGCACCACAGGTAGAGGGAGGATGTGGGATCGGGGGTTTACTGGGGTTTTTGGTGGTAGAGAATGGGCACTGATGAAGGGACAGGTGTTTCATCATTGTATGACCGAGACTTAAACCCAAAAGCTTTGTAACTGCTCTCACAGTGATTCAATAAATTTATAAAAAGGAAAAGAAAAAGTAAGGTGGAGTTCATGCCCAATTCAATCAACCTAATCAATGACTGAATAAATAGCAGTACTCCTACATTAAAATAAAAATAAAAAAAGCTTTCAAAATGAAATTTTGGGCAAACTAAAAAAAAACCTAATTCTGGGTTTCATTTATTTTTTTTTTCTTCTTGGGTCACACCTGGCAATGCTCAGGAATTACTCCTGGTGGTGCTTGGGGGACGTACAGGATGCCAGGGATTGAACCCGGGTCAGTTGCGTGGGCAGACTTTCAAAGGCAAAACTTAAGACTTGGGTTTTGGTGAAGGTGACCACCACAGTATTTTACTTTAACTTTTTAACTGAATCACTGTGAGATAGACCATTACAAAGCTGGTGATGATGGGATTTCAGTCATACAGCATTGCAGCACCCGTTCCTCCAGTGTCCCCAGGTCCCCTCCCATCACCCCCTACCCACAGTCTGCCTCTGTGGCAGGCGCTTTTCTTCTCTCTCTCTCTCTCTCTCTCTCTGTCTCTCTCTCTCCCTTCCTCCCTCTCTCCCTTTTCTCCCCCTTTGGGGCATTTATTTTGGTTTGGGGGCCACACCCAGCTGTGCTCAGGGCATAGTACTGGCAATACTCAGGAGATCGTATGTGGGGATCGAACCGAAGCCAGCCACATGTGAGGCAAGCGCCATGCCTGCTGTCATCTCTCTCTGGCCCACGCACGCAGTGTTTAAAAGGAGCAAGTCCGATGGCATGATGTTGTCACCACATCGGTTTCTGGTTGGGAGGGGTTTTCTACTTTTGACCTCAGTAATGCCCATTTAGAATACGGGAGTTTTCTTAGGCAAACCTCTTTCTCATTCATCTCCCTGTCTTTGCTGAGTACTATGCCAGGTATAGAAAAACAGTTGCACACAAAATAGAAAAGTAAAAAAAAATCTTGTGGGGGCGGGGCTCGGGGTGGTGCTCAGAGGCTACTTCTGCTCCATAGGCTTGGTGGTCACTCCCAGAATTCCTGCAGGCGACAGTGTGGTGGCAGGGATGAAGTTGGGGGCCTGTATGCCAAGCCTGCACTTAGCCCATTGAGCACTCTCTCAGCCCCAGACAAGATTGGGATGATAAGTGTGTGGTAAATGACGGGAAGGAACATTCCCGCCTCCCCTGCTCCTGCAGGAATTGTTAGATGATCCCAGTTTGCCTCTGAGGGAGAAAAACGCGATAAAGGTGTAAGGAAAGGAGTTGGAGCAGTAGTACGACAGGTAGGGCATTTGCCTTGCACAGGGCCGACCCAGGTTCAATCCCCGGCATCCCATATGGTTCCCTGAGCACACCAGGAATGATCCCTGAGCACAGAGCCAGGAGTAACACCTGAGCATCGCCAGGTCTGGTCCCTCAAAAAAAAAAAAACGCACGAGTAAAGAGTGCTGCAAACCACTAAGGAGACACACGGATGATCAGAGATCAAGCATGTGATGGTCTAGCCCCACACACCAGCAACGTCGGTGTTCTGCCACCTGTGACGTAAGGCCCCTGCACACCACCCTCATATCTCTGACAAAGTTTTTTTTAGTTTGGGCCACATGTTTACATTAGCACTAATACTTAAACGATTTTTGTTTGTTTGGGGGTCACACCTAGCAATGCTCGGGCTTCCTCTGACTGTGCTAAGTTAGGATCACTCCTGGCGAGCTCAGAGGGCCATAATGGGTGCTGGGGATCGAACTCAGGTTGGCTGCATGCAAGGTGAGGGCCCTCGCCACTGTCTTTATTTCTCGGGCTCCACTGCCTACAGTTTTGATGTACACCTCACTGCCACCAAAGTGCCCAAAACCCTCCACTGGTGACCTTGTGTTATTTCTGTGTCTTTATCTTTGTTTGAATAGAGGGCATCGTATCAAATTGTCGGGTGACTCAGCGCTAGAAAGAATATCGAGTATTTCTGAAGGCAACATAAACTATCAGAAAGGTTTTGACAAGCTCATTTGATAGGCCAAACTAGCAAGGTGGAATTTAGTAGAAATCAATTTAAGGGCCTGCACTTGAATTTAAATTTCCAGCTAGCCAAGTATGGGGCATGACTTAGCACATCAATTCTTGGGGGAGGCTTCGACCAAAGAATTTAATCATTCCTAAGCCTGAGGATTCATCGGGAGTGTGATGGGTGTGCTGCGGAGACTAATGTAATTCTATGCTCTAGTGATAATGGCTAGAGCTGGGAGCATGATCCTGGCATTTACCTATGTGATCAGAATTCTTTTTTTTTTCTTTCTCTTTGTTTTTGGCCTATACCTGGCAATACTCAGGAGTTACTTCTGGCTCTCCACTCAGGAATTACTCCTGGCAGGCCTTGGGACCACACGGGATTCTGGGGATCAAAATCAGTTTGGCCATGTGTAAGGCAAAATTTGCTCTACCAACTGTACTATCGCTTTGCCCCCTACCCCGAATTATTTTTCTTATGGTATCTAGGAATAAAAATAAACCTAGAGTTCCTTCTCGGACACATTACTTTGGCAGAGACTAGAGTATCAAATGAAGATGAAAAAACTCCCATTCTAGGAGTCCATGGTTAATGCTTTGTAGCTGTTTTCTCTTGTCATAACATCTTGAGTTTGTGCTCCTGACTCCCCTCAGGAGCTGTGGGAGGGGAGGACTAATGATCAGCTGGGTTGCCTGGGGGTCTGTTCAGTCAGGGTGTCTGCACACCGCTGACTGACAGGATTCAGAAGGCCTTCCCTCGAAAGCACAGTGGCTAATCATGTTGTCTTTGCAGGTGACTATAGGCCGAGGATTTGGAGTCACTTACCAGTTGGTGTCAAAAATCTGCCCTTTGATGATTTCTCGAAATCACTGTGTTTTGAAGCAGAATGCCGAGGGCCAGTGGACAATTATGGACAACAAGGTACTTGAATATACCATAATGATTTTTATTAAATGTTAATTTTTTAATTGCTTTTTTGGGCATAGGTAAGTCATGGTACCAATATTAGCATTTTCTTCTCCCCAACCACCCAATTATCCCCTCCACAGTTAATCAGTTCTGTTTGTTTCCGGAGAGTAGGTTATACTGAAATAACTTCTAAGGACGTGTTGAAGTTCGTTACTGGATATGGGGGGTTTTCTTTTTTTGTTTTTTGTTTTGGACCACATCCAGTGGTATTCAGGACTTACTCTTGGCTCTGTGCTCAGGGATCACTCCCGATTGGTTTGGAGACCAATATGGGGTGCTGGGTTTGAATGTTCATGGAGTGCATGCATAGCTAAATGCCTTAGCTACTGTGTTATCTCTGACCCTGCAGTTAGTTACTATGGAAGGAGTACTTGAATCGTGGTAAGCCCTGCTCCAGAAAGCAGTCTGAGGTTTGGAGGAGTTGCTCTTGTTATGTCAAAAGGTCCAGAGACTCTTGGAATCTGTGGAGGATTCTTTGTCCATCTGGTGCTCAGGGCATGGAGAGGAGAGAGCAGCTGAGGAACTGCACTTCTGTTGGAGTTTGCGGGGAAGGGCTCCCTCTGTGCCACCAAGGAATGCTCCCACAGTTCACTGGGTTCTGACACTACGGGCTACTGTCCTTTTGTCCCACGGACTCAGTCTCCCGGACTGTCTTCCACTTAACATGCCACTGGCAAGTCCGGACTTCTACTGGTACTTCAGACTAATAGATAAAAATCAGAGGTTCCTATAGCCTAACACCTCCCTCCTCCCTGCCTTGGATTCTGTTAGGGTATTTTTATTTATTTATTTTTAATTTTTATAAAGTTGTTCACAATAATTGATTACATTTAATATTCAAACACCAATCCCACTACCATTGAACCTTCCCACAACCGTATTTCAAATGTTTCCACCCCAAATCCCAAACCGTGACTCCCCAAAGCAGAACCAAAACAATTTTGTGTTGCTTGTTATGAATACTCTGCTGAAAATGGTTCAACAGGGTCTGGAGTGATAGCACAGCAGGTAGGGCCTTTGCCTTGCATGCGGCCAACCCGAGTTCGATTCCCAGCATCCCTTATGGTCCTCTGAGCACCGCCAGGAGTAATTCTTAAGTGCAGAGCCAGGAATAACCCCTGTGCATCAGCTGGGTGTGGCTCAAAAAAGAAAAAAAGGTTCAACAAAAAAGTTTTTAGAGGAAAGTGTGGAAGATTGTTGTATTTCATCCTGGAGCCATTAAGCCCGAGATTGCTAACAGGTTAGTTAAATCTCGTAAATGTGTGCTACTTTTGATATATAGGTGGCGTAGAGTATGAGGGGTTGTGTAAATGCGGCCAGATACTCCAGGAATTCTAAAAGTTAGAATACGTTTATACAGCAGATTCACGCATGGGTGAGGTCCTTGCGATTACATGGTGCCAGGGACAGTTTGTGGGTGTGACCAGCCAAGCTGCTGGTCAACTAGGAAGATGGGAGGAGGAGGCTCAGTCCCACTCTGAGTGAGCTTGGAGATTTCAATCATGGGTCTCGAATACCTGGATTTTTCTGCAGATTCATGGGTGAGGCTTGTCTGAGCCTGTGAAGAGAGGCAGTGAGCGTGGCAGCCATGTGAATTCAGTTTTAATAAAATAATACAAAAGATAACAGGAGCCTCTGGATGACGCAGGGCGAGGGACCCAGCAGGGCACGGTCTCCCGCTCTGCGAGCGTGTCACATGCCCAGCACCAGCTTGGAAGCTCTCCGGGCCCATTCTTTCTGGATTTTGCTTGTTTTGTTTTGCTTTTTTTGGACCATAACTGGCATGCTCTGCACTGGGAGGTTATAGTTGCTGGGAATCTAACCTGGGTCGGTTGCATGAAAGGCAAGAGACGTACCTGCTGTCCTATGTCTCCAGATTGGTGGTTTCTTTTTTTCTTTTTGGGTCACACCCGGTGATGCTCAGGGATTACTCCTGGCTTTACATTCAGGAATTACTCCTGGCAGTGCTCAGGGGACCATATGGGATGCTGGGATTCGCACCGGGTTGGCTGCGTGCAGGGCAAACGCCCTACCCGCGGTGCTGTCACTCCAGCCCGGTAGACCGTTTGTTTCCCTACATAAACAAGATCAAATAAACCAGGCTTTCAACGTTTCGCACCTTAGACCCATAGACTGGTGGTTGAAAGCTGCTGTCAGTTAAGTGGTAGTAACTATGGACTGACAGGAAATTTCTATGGAACAGAACCTGGAAACTATTGGATTAAGTTATTGTGGCCATTGGTGATGAATCCAACCTCCAGCTCCTCTTCACTTTCAGGAGGGCCAGCGCACTACTGCACGTCCCTCCTTTCCATCCCTGGGGAGTTTCTAGGCAGCCAGCGGCCTCCCCCCAGCTGTAATTTAGGGCACTCCTGAAGCAAACTCACTATTATAACGAAGGATGTAGGTTGCCATCAAGGTGTTGCACCTGTCCTGGGTTCGATTTCTGGCAGCAGGTGGTCCCCTGAGCACTGCTCGCTGTGGTCTTAGGGTCTCCAGGTGGCCCCAGTGTCTGGCACTGCAGCACAGACCTGATTGGCTGAGAATTCCCCGTGAGGACTCCTGAGTACTGCCCAAGGACATCCCCCTGCCCCCATAAAAAATAAATCTTATCCCCAAAAAAACAAAAGCAAAAAGGTCATAACACTGAGTAGGAAATTTCAAGGCTTGTTTTTTTTATTACTTGTTTTTGGTCTTTGCTTTTCGGGTCACACCTGGCGTTGCACAGGGGTTACTCCTGGCTACACATGCATGCACTCAGGAATTACTCCTGGCAGTGCTCGGGGGACCTGGGAATCGATGGGATGCTGGGAATCGAACCCGTGTCAGCTGCATGCAAGGCAAACGCCCTCCCCGCTGTGCTATCGCGCCAGCCCAAGGCTTGTGTTTCAAAAAGCAGCTCTGTGCTAGAAACGGGGTGCCGAACAAGCCGACCCACAGTATCTCAGGTGTCCTCAGTTTACATGCATGAAACTGCTCGATGTGAGCTGTACCCGAAAATACTTGGCCACGCTAGACGTAGGTCGAGTTTGCACTGTGCCGAAGGGGAGGCCTAAGCGCTGAGTAAGGTGGTTTTGCACTCTGGGTAAGGCGTCTGAGCAGAGACCGCAGGAGGGGACTCAGAGATCTCCGCGAGGCCCAGAGGGGACAGCTGACTTGCCCAAGTCCTTCTTTGTAACTGGCTGACTGAGTTGAAAGAGCCAGACTCAAGCTCAGGCCTACTATTTCCTGTTGACAAAAACCACTAAAGAACACAAGCAATTTGCTTTCCTGGCTGCACTGCATGATTTGAAAAAAAAAAAAAAAACCCCACCCAACTGCATGTTTGCAATAGAGGCACAATTTCACTCCCCACGGCCTCACGGTGCCTCAGGTACCAGTGTAGGCTGCGCTGCACTCCTTGCCGATGCGCCCTGTGGATGTGCAGCAGCGTTGAGGGGAAGCAGTGTCTGATTGTAACAGTTGGCCTCAGAGACCCAGAGCCGCCTGGGAGCAACAGCCTGATTGCTTCTCGGTTGCTTTACTCTTTCCTTTTTGGGGGGTGGCACACACCTGGTGGTGCTCAGGACTGCTCCTGGTTCTGCCTCGAGGCATCACACTTGGCGTGCTCAGGAGACCTTACGAGGTGCCCAGGTTGGCTGTGTGTAAGGCAAGTGCCCTGACCACTGGTATAGGATTGCTTGCCCTGCAGTGTTTTCTTTTTAAGATCTTTCTCCTGGGGCTGCTGTTACCGTGACACTTTCTCAGGCCTCAGAAGGATCCTTTAGTGGAATGGTGGCTCCCGATTCTTCGGGTTTTTTCTTTGCGGTTGGTTTAAGCCTCTTTGAGTCCGTATTTGGGAGAAGTAGGAACTGGGTTGTTCAGTGGACTCACTGCTTGGGAAATTTGCTCCCTTTTTCTCCTTTACCTTCCCCCTGACTTATTTTTGCTTGGGGGTCACACCCACTAGTGCTCAGGGCTGACTCCTGGCTCTGCACTCGAGGATTACTCCCGGTGGACTCGGGACCATATGGGGTGTGAGGGATTGAGATATTTCAGGTTGTTTTACTGTACCGTGAGGCTCAAAACTACTCCCTCTGGGGCACTGTAAGGCTTTGGGGTTCCACATGCTTAAATGCTGAGCAGATGCGGAAGTGAACCAATTTCTCTTCGCAACTATTGTTCACACAGGCTCTAGGACAGACTTGAGTTTATCTAAACCATCGTGTTTGCGTTTGTATCCTGGGCCATTGTTCTTACAAAGCCTTGGTATTTTGGTCCTTTTCAGTAGTTACCTTGTGAACAACTCAGGGTTGTGGTCCAAATTACACCACTAGATGTCACTAAGGAGTGACCGATGGATAAACTGAGGGATGGGAAGATGTCGATTGCTTCTGAACCAGGCAGGTAACTAGAGTCTGGTGGAGGACTACAGTGGGCCTTGGAAGCTTGCCTTGTTTTCTTAATGGATCCCTGTTTTTTCTAGACTTAAGGGGCTTCTGAACCAACCAATCTTCCTTCCCCCTCTCCCCCCCCCACACACACACACCCCGTGGTCCTGACTCTGCACTCAGGGATCACTCCTGGTGGGCTCAGGGGACCATATGGGATGTCCCAGGGATCGAACCCAGGTCAGCCACATGCAAGGCAAGCAAATGTCCTACCCATGTACCATCACTCCAGCCCCTTGAAACCTTTTAAATTTAACTTTACGTTGCCTCTGAGTCTGTATTTTCACATTAAGTGACCTCCGATGTCATATTACTTTTCCTGAGATGTTTTTCTAGGCATAATCTAAAATGAGGGTTTTGTAAAATGGCTCCCATGTAGGTTCTTCTGGCCTTCATCTCGTTCCTTTGTTATCTCCACACATGGGAGTCACCAGAACTCATCACTGCCATAGTTGCTCAGCTGAAGAAAAAAATTGGGATAAGGTTGGTCCAGTAAGCCCGGTCAGGCCCATGGCAGCGTCTAAAGGTCAGATGCGCCCGAGGCCAGGGTCATCTTTTCCACCCTCTCCGCAGCTAGAGCCATAGTATTAAACTGCACACGAGGGCCTCATCCCAGTCAGGGCTGAGGCTATTCCCTCCTGGAGCCTTTTGGCCCGGTCAAAGCCCCCTGGGCTTCATATTTGGGTCAGACGGACAGTTTTTCTACTTGAGTCTTCTTGAGCCTGTGAGCTGCTTCTCTGGCCTGTCCTTAGATGAGAGGGGTTGTCTCTAAACTCTGTCCCACATTTGTTTCAGGCCTCTTTTAGCACCCCTCGGCCCCCGGTTAGCATCACTTAGCTAGTCCGTCCCCACATAGCACTCCTTTGTATTTGGAGTCTGTGCTGTATGACTGTGCCATTGCGTGTTTGCACCCTTGTCTTTTCTATAGTCAGCTGCTAAAAAGTTTCATCCTCTACTTAGATACTTTGTGTATTTACATTGCAAGATGTTGAGCAGAGCTGAGATTGTTGACAAATCAGTTGAGCCAGAATTATAATAATAGTAGCGGACACTTACATAATGCTTACCACGTGCTAGGCACTTTTCTAAGTACAATGCATATGTTATCTCATTAAATTCACACAAATACCAAAAGGGAGAGGCTGTTATTGTCCTCCATTTTATGTTGTAATAACTGGGACGTGGCTTAAAAAGAAACGAGTGCTAAGTGACCAGAGAGATGTAGTATGGGGATTAGGGCCCTTGTCTTGCATGTGACAGCCCTGGTGTAATACCAGATACGTCCCCCGAGTACAACCAGAAGTGATTTTTCAGTGGAGAGCTAGGAGTACTCCCTGAGTACGCTGCCCTGCCCCAGTTTTGCGAAGTCACAGCTGCTAAGTGATGGAGCAACGCACCCCAGGGAATTTGGCCTTCATCTCCTTCCTTTGTTATCTCCAGGCTCCATGCTCTTAACCTCAACACAGGGGTGGTGGGGGGGTGGGGGGTGAAAGGTGACCACAGGTGACATTGCATGAGTGGGGAGCCATTTACAGGGGAGCTGCAGGAAGGAACCAAGATTAGAAGGGGCCAGATCAGAACAGGGTTGAAAAACAGTGGTCTAGACTATGGCTAAATTAAAGCCACAAAAGGAGCAGTTTCTGGAAGTCGCTGTGCTAGGTGTCCTATAAGTAGTGCTCAAGCCCACACCATCTCTGTCTCACAGACAAGGCCGAGGCACGGTTCTCGCCCTTACCCGCTCTGCACTCCCCAAGAGCTTCTGGTTCGACTGCTTGGGTCCGCTTCCATCTGCAGTTCGACCCCAGAGAAGTTGATAGGCTTTAGTATGTGTACTGGGCAGTGCTGGGCCTCGGGGACACACCCAGAGATGGCGCTGGGCCTCGGCTGTCTGCACCCACCTCTCCAACCTCATCGTTAGATACTGCTTCCTTTCTAATGGGAGTTTTTCCACTCTTGGACAAAATCTTTCAGTTCTGGCCAAGCGGAGCTATATTGTTTCATTTTCTTTCATAAATCCATTAGCACTGAGTAATTCATCTACCAGTAATGCTGCAATCCTCCTGTTAGGCAATTCTCTGTGGAGCCATGAATGTGGAATGTAGACTAAAAAGCAAACAGACAATGCGCTGTTTCAGAATGCTATTTCTGAGCATGGTGCTTTATGAAACTTTCTTTCCTGTTCCCAAGGGTTTTCCTTCTGAAATAGCAAAGAGTTTTGCGGCAGCAGGATAGAAATTCCATTCAGAGGAGGAAATCAGGGCTGGACAGATAGCTCAACAGGCTGAGCGCGTGCTTTGTTGCGAGGGGGCCCAGGTTCAGTCCCTGGAATCACATGGTCCCCTGAGCACTGCTGGAAGCACCCCCAAGCGCAGAGCCGAGAGTAGCCAGACACGGTCCCAAAGTTAAGCTCAGTCAGACACACAAATTTAGGAAAATTGTGAATTTCGTTTTGTCTCCCTTTTCTTTCTCCAGAGTCTGAATGGTGTCTGGTTAAACAGAGAACGTCTAGAGCCACTGAAGGTCTATACCATCCACAAGGGAGACCGTATTCAGCTCGGCGTGCCTCTGGAGCATAAGAAGAATGCAGAGTACGAATATGACGTTGCGGAAGAAGACTGGGAGACGTTGTATCCCTGTCTGGCCCCAAAGAGTGACCAGATGATGGAAAAAAAGAGGGGTTTGAGAACTAAAAGGAAAAGTAGTTTGGATGGATTAGAGAGCCCTGGAGTTGAAGGCCCCTCGAATTTGAAGTCCAAAATCAGCAAAGTGTCCTACGAACCTGGATGTCCTGTGAAGTCGTGTGAGAAAGGGGCAGAGACTAGCCCCGCTGCTGAGTGTGTGGAGTCGAAGCGGACCTCTCCCGAGCCAAGCGAGGTGACCACCACCGCAACGCAGACCTGCCCTGGCCCCACTCAGGCCTTGGAGCAGCCCCCGAAGCTGAAAGCCTCAGACTCCTCCGCGCCGCAGAGCGACCTGGAGCTGTTCAGGGTGACCATGTCCAGGATTCTGAAGCTGAAAACACAGATGCAGGAGAAACAGGTGGCTGTTTGGAGAGTGAAAAGGCAGGCGCAGAAAGGGACCTCCAAGAAAATCGAGAAAATGGAGCGGGAGCTCAAGGCCTTGCAGTTCCAGCTGTGCACAGAGCAGGCCCGGCAGCAGGCCCGCGCCGAGCAGCTGGAGAGGACTTTCCAGGAGAGCAAGCAGCTCCAGGTACCCCCACATGCCCCCCCACACACACACGGAGGGAGGGAGGGAGGGAGCAGGGGTGAGTGCCCCTTGGGCTGGCCCGCGCAGTGTTCTGTGGGTCAGGGACATGGAATGGGGCCAAGAAACTTGATCTTCCTGAATTTCTCCTCTTGTTTTTAACCTTGCATAATGCTGATCAAAGCCCAGTCATGTAGACCCGAGGCTAGCACGGGCGAGTCGGTTGGTCACTGTACCCTTGCTGGAACTGGCAGTTGCTAGCCCGGATGATCAGTCCCCTCTGGGAGAATAACTAGGAAGTAGAAGCAAAGTCCCAGCACCTGGAGGGGCAGTAGTACTTGGGTGTTGGGAAAGGGATGTTTCACTTTCATTGTGGGTTTTTTTTTTTTTGGCTTGTGGGGTTACACCCAGCGATGCTCAGGGGTTATTCCTGACTCTGTACTCAGGAATTCATCCTGGTAGTGCCCTGGGGACCATAGGGGATGCTGGGGATTGAACCGGAGTTGGCTGCATACAAGGCAAACATCCTGCCTCCTGTACTATTGCTCCAGCCCCTCTCTGTGGCTTTACCGGAAGGTGAGTGTTGGCGTTTGGGCCACCTCTGGGCCTTGCACAGTCATGTGCTTACACAACACCTCCTAGCACTAAGCAGCCAGGCCCACGCCGATCCTGTCCCTGCTCAAATGCCATTTCCCAGCTGGCCAGACCCACATTTCACTCAGGTGATGCTGAGCGTCAAGAACTTCCACTCACTGACTTAGAACAAAGGAGGACCAATTAGAAGGGAGTGAAAAAGCTTTTCTCTTGGTTCACGTCACTCAGGGGCCAGGGACAGCCTGGAGTGGTGGCTTATTTCTGAACAGTTTGTAAATTTTTTTTTCCCCCTGCTTTTGGGTACTCCTGGTGATGCTCAGGGGTTACTCCTGGCTCTGCACTTAGGAATTACTCAGGAATGATCTCTGGAGGTGTTCAGAGGACCATATGGGATGCTGGAGATCGAACTGGGGTAGGCCGCATACAGGGCAAATGCCCTACCCACTGTACTATTGCTCCAGCCCTCATTCTGTGTGTGGGGTTTTTTTTTTTTTTTTTTTTTTTTTTTTTTGGCCACCTCTTTGAACTGGTAGTATTAGAGCAAAAGTGCTGGATTAAATAGACCTTTCTGAGGGGATGCACTGCGTGTGTGCCTTTTTGCTTCCCTTATCTAGTCTGACCTGTTGTTGAGATTAATAGAGGAAGGTTTATTGCTGGGTATGTAAGGCTATGATGCCTTCCCCAGACAGAAGCCTTTTTTTCTTTTAAAGGCTCATGTGTCTTAAGAGCACGACTTACTCTTAATTAGGTCTTTGAGTGCTGTGGGCATGCTTCAAGGTAGGTCTGTAAAATCTTTTTCCTTACTGAAACGGTTAAGAAAAGCAGGACAGACTAGCTCAGATAATTTCTCCAGGTGTGAGAGGATCACATAGAAATTGCTTATAGTGACGTAGATCTGTAGGATAATACTGGTTTGTCCTTTCCGCCTTACAGGAAGCTTAGGTTTATTGGGTCACTCCCATCACAGTTCTCCCATTCCTCTGTTTATTTGTAACCTCTTTGTGCTCTGTTAACTTGTAAATACTGCTTTTTCTCTTCTCCTTAAGCCCTTTGCATAGTTAATTCAGAGCAATGTCCTTTTTGTATGGACGTAGGAAGACAGTTAATGCTATGCTTTTGTAACTTGGCACTCAGTTGACTCTGAATGATACTCACTTCTGGGCATCTGTTCTCTCGACTTAAGCCTCAGTTTCCCTTACTTCCTAGCACCCCAAAAGCAGAGTCCTGACGAGGGACTGACTGGACCCAGGGCAAGCAGTGAGCTACTCTGGCATCGAAATGGGCCTTGCCAAAGTGCCATAATGCTTAACTATAAGTTAAGAGCATGGGCATGGACAAATTTTGTCATGATCCAAAAAGTAGTAACTAGATTTGGACCCTTCTAGGGCCAGGGCTAAGGAAGGATTAATCTGGCCTGAGCACTGTAGTCTGAGTCTGTGGCGAGATGTCCCCAGGAGAGCCACCTAACAAGCTCACTGTATCTTACTGTGTCCATACAGAATAATATTAAGAAGTAGAATTAAGATGTTAATCAAGATGTTAATTAAGGGCTGGAGTGATAGCACAGCAGGTAGGGCATTTGCCTTGCATGCAACTGACCCGGGTTCGATTCCCAGCATACCACATGGTCCCCTGAGCACCACCAGGAGTAATTTCTGAGTGCAAATGCAGGAGTAACCCCTGTGCATCGCCGGGTGTGATGCAAAAAGCAAAAAAAAGTTAAGAGGTTAGTTATTGGACTAAGGAAAGGAGAAAAACATCTTAAGTGATGTTTTTGCTCATACACAAAAGAAGGGGGCTACTTCCAGTGCAGAGAGTTGGTGGGGGGAGAGAGAGAGAGAGCAGGGCAGCAGGATGAAGCAGGGAGAGACTAGCAAGGGGAACAGAGGAAGAATGTCGGGGTAGAGTGCAGGAGCAGGCGTGTGGAGAGACGAGAGTCGCGGCTGCGAGAGGGAACGTGAAGAGATGAGCTGGAGAGACAGGAGGAGACGGGAATGAGGGGCGGTGTGAGACTGGAATGGGAGGCTTAGACTGGAACAGGCGCGTGGGAAGAAGGGAATGAACGGCAAGTGATCACCAACCAGCTTGGCCCTCATTTCCTCCTTCGTCTGCCCGTGGCATCGGCCGGCCCAGGTGGGCGAGCAGCCTGAGTCCACCAAACGCGGGAGGCTAGAGCCGCCTGGAGATTACACATACATCTTTTGCTTTTTGCTTTTGCTTTTTTCGGTCACACCCAGTAATGCTCAGGGGCTACTCCTGGCTCTGCACTCAGGAATTACTCCTGGTGGTGCTCGGGGGAACGATATGGAATACTGGGGATAGAGCCCTGGTTGGCCACAAGTGCCCCCCTCACTGCATTATTGCTTCTGGGCCCCCGTGACATATATCGTGTCCTTTGTTAGTTGTATTTCTTCTCTGCCACCAGGCCTTTGGATTTCTCTCTCCTTACTACGTACTCAGAAGCTCATTTCACCCTTGTGCTTCACCCCAAGCTCACACGTTGCCTAGTGGTTATAAAGACAATATAGTTAGATGTTGGGCTTTTGTTTTTGTTTTTTGCCCTTAAGGAGTATTGGTGAAGCAAAAAGGTATGTGTATATACAAAATAATCAGCACAGATTTCAGATACTTAAATTCCAGAGTATTTCAAGGAAAGCTCTGCCAGTTAAAGTGAGTAAGGTGAGGAGGTAGGAGCGCGGCTTCTGCGTGAAAGGCAGCCACAGCCACATCAGGAGGAGCCTTCGCGGGCTTCGGTGGCACAGAACCAGGAAAGAAGTTTGGTGGAGCGCCAGCTGCCAGCCTGGCTCGTGACCATTAGACGTAGAAATCCTCTCCTGAGAGTCTTGGCCTCAGCAGTGAAGGAGACTTGGGGCTTGGGCCCAGAGTTGCTTCAGTGCACATGATGGGCGGCCTGGAGGCGAGAGCTCCGAGCAGTTAACTGTGCCAAGAGCTTGAAGTAAAACACTCCGTCCTCTGGGCATGGTGGAGGGATGGGGACTCGATCATTGTATAACTGGAACCCAAGCACAAAAATTTGTAGGTCTACAACTGTACCTCATGGTGTTTCACTGATAAAAATTAAAACAACAACAACAAAAGACACACCATCGCTGCCGCCCGCTGCTCCCAGTTGCTCGTTAACCCTCCTGCTCTGCTTGTTCCTGGATTCCCCCCTCCCCTCCCTTCCTGCAGGGAAATCTTCATCTTGTTTTTGGTTTTCTAGGATTTGGGGAAAGAGCACGGAGAAGAGGACTTGAAGCAGCATCTGGCCCAGGCTCTGCGGGAGGTAACCTTTCAGACCACGGTGCTCGGATTAAAGGGGGGCGGGGGGGAGGGCTGCCTCTCCTGCTTCGCCCATGCCTCTGTGGCACCTGCAGACTATAGACAGAGCAGATGGCAGCTGCCGGCGCCGTCAGCTTGGAGATTCGGAGCCTCCAGGCATGCAACCTAACGTCTTCATCTGAGCAGAAATTGCTTGCTGAAGGGACCTGGTGCCCCTAGCTGTGGGAGCTGCTCAGGGGCAGCGACTGACCTTCTTGAAAGGAGCTTTCAGCCCCACCAGGGCCTGCAGACACTTCCTGCCTCCTCATTCCTGGGTTGCAGCCCTCCAGAAACTGGCCAAGAAGGTGCCAGTTAAACATACGGGTCAGATGGAGAATGTACAGTTTTGTCAGTAAAATGGTAATTTACCAGAAGGGCAAGGTCTTCCAGAAACAAGTGTTTCTTAGAAGATCATAATTTATTTCACTTAATTTGACTACTTTTGGGAGATGGGGGGCGGGGTTTGGATTTGGGGGCCACACCTGGCAGTGCTCAGGACTCACTCTTACTCCTGGAGGGCTCGAGGGACCATATGGGATGCTGGGGATTGAAGCAGTGCAGGTATGCCCTACTGTTGCTCCAGCCCATCTTCTCTCCTTTTTGTGCCGTAATTAGTAGTTTCTGCAGGTTTAACTAGAGTATTAGCAGGCGGGTTCCTGAGCAAGAGCGAAGTGAGCAGTTGCATCCGGTGCGTTTCAGAGCTTTTGCTTTGCTCTGCCACTCAGCTGCACGCTGCCCTCCTGGCCTCGTCACAGGGCTTGGGACAGTGGCCACCTGCAGTCTTTTTTTTTTTCCATTTTTTGCTTTTTGGGGTAACACCTGGCGTTGCACAGGGGTTACTCCTGGCTCATGTACTCAGAAGTTATGCCTGGCAGTGCTCGGGGGCCCATATGGGATGCTGGGGATCGAACCCGGGTCGGCCGCGTACAAGGCAAGTGCCCTACCCGCTGTGCTATCGCTCCAGCCCCCACCTGCAGTCTCTGAGGGCTGGGTGTACCATAGCAAGACATGGAGAAAAACTCAGTAGTCTTGAGTTTTGATTTTCTAAATGAGTTTCCTATTCAGGGTGAAGGGAGGGTTGGGAGCTTTTATTTTGAATTTTGTTTATTTTTGAGTCATCATGAGATACAGTTACAAAGCTGTTTGTGTTTGGGGTATTATCCCACAGTGTTCCAACATCCATCCTTCCACCCATGTACCCCCAGCCTACCTCTGTGGCAGGCACTTTTTTCCTTTCTCTCCTTTTAGACATTGTGGTTTATACAGGTGCTGAATGGTTGTCGTGTTTGTGCCTTTGCCTACTTTTATCACACAGTTCTTGTGTAGAGTGATTATTTCCAGCTATCATTACATAATGGTCCTTTTCTATCCCAACTGCCCTCTCCCCCAGCCCTTGAGGCAGGCTTGCAACTATAGACCAGTCCTCCTGGCCCTCGTTTCTGCTGTCCTTGGGGGTTGGTCTCATGCTGGTTTTTTTTTTATTTCCCACAAATGAGTGCAGTCATTCTGTGTCTGTTTCTCTGCTCTGACTCTTTTCACTCAGGATAATACTCTCCATGTCTATTCATTTATAAGCAGATTTCATGACTTTTTTGGGGGAAAGAGGGCGTCATACCCAGAGATGCCCAGGGGTTACTTCTGGCTCTGCCCTCAGGAATTACTACTGGCAGGGGACCCTACCCGCTGTACTATTGCTTTGACCCCTCATGATTTCATTTTTCCTTGTGGCTCCATTGTATTCCATTGTGTAGATGTGCCATAGTTTTCTTTATGTAGTTGTCTGTTCTCGGCCCTCGGGTTGTTTCCAGATATTGGCTATTGTGAATAGTGCTACAACGAACACAGAAGTGCAGGTGGCATTTTTGCTGTGTGTTTTTGCGCCCCCAGAGTATATTCCCAGAAGCGGTTTTGCTAAGCCCATTGAGAAACGGAAGTTCGGTTTCTAGCCTTTTGAGGAATGCCCGTATTGATTTCCAAAAGGACTGGACTAGTTTGGATTCCCATCAACAATGAGTAAGATCCCTTTCGCCCCACAACCACGCCAGCACTGGTTGTTCTTGTTCTTTTTGTGTGTGTGCCAGTCTCTGTGGTGTGAGATGTTATCTCATTGTTTTGATTTGCATCTCCCTGATGATTAGTGATGTAGCACATTTTTTCCTGTGCCTTTTGGCCATTTGTATTTCTTCTTTGAAGTAGTCTCTTCATTTCTTCTCCCCATTTTTTGATGAGATTGGATTTTTTTCCTTATATCACTGATACTAACCCCTTATCTGATGGGTATTGGGTAAATAATTTTTCTCATCTGTGGGCTTTCTCTCTTGGTCACTATTTTGAGATGCAGAAGCTTCTTAGCTTAAAGTAGTCCCATTCGTTTATCTTTGCTTCCACTTGATTAATTCCGTGGTGTTTCATCTTTGAAAGATACCTTTAGTGTCAGTGTCATGGAGGGTTCTGCCTTTGTTTTTCTCCATGTATCTTATGGATTCAAGTCTGATAATGAGGTCTTTAATCCACTTCGATCTGACTTTTGTGCCTTGCATTAGAGAGGCACAAAATCTTTTTTTTTTTTCAACAAAATCGTTCTTTTGCACATAGCTGCCTTAGTTTTTCCAGCACCACTTGTTGAAGAGGCTTTTCTTGCTCTACTTCACATTTCTTGCTCCTTTATCAATGATTAAGTGATTTGAGGGTCTGTTAGAATATTCAACTCTATTCCATTTGTCTGTGAATCTGTCTTTATTCCAATACCATGCTGTTTTCATTACTTCAGGATGGTACAGTTTGAAGTTGGGGAAGGTGATGTCTCCCATCTTTTTCCCAAGGATTGCTTTAGCTGTTTTGAGGGGCTTATTGTTCATAGGACTTCCAGGAGTGTTTTATCTATTTCTTCTAAAAATGTCATAGAAAAAAGTGGGTATGCTTATAGGGACCACATTGAATCTGTATAATGCTTTGGGGAGTATTGCCACTTATGTTAATCCTCCCAATTCATGAGGAGGGGATGTGTCTCCATTTCCTTGTGTCCTCTTTTATTTCCTGAAGTCACGGTTTAGGTCATGGTCCTCCCGTTGTTCATCGATTTGCTTGAGCGGGCCCAGTAACGTCTCCATCATGAAACTTGTTGTTACTGTGTTTGGCATATTGAATACGTCACGGGTAGCTTGCCAGCCTCTGCCGTGCAGGCGAGATACTCTCGGTAGCTTGCCAGGGTCTCTGAGAGGGGCAGAGGAATCGAACTCGGGTCGGCCATGTCGACCGCTTGTAAGGCAAACGCCCTACCGCTGTGCTGTCACTCCAGCCCATTTCCTGAAGTAGTGTTTTATAATTTTCTTTGAATAGGTCCTTTACAAAGCTCTTTAGTTAAGCTGATTCTGAAATATTTGATTTTCTGAGGCACTATTGTGAATGGGATTTTTTAGTGTTTCTTATCATATTATTTGTATATAGGAAAGCCATGGACTTTTGGGTATCAAATTTGTAACCTGTCACTTCACTATACAAGTCTATTGTTTCTCAGAGCTTTTTGGTAGAGTCCTTAGGAGTTTCTAAGTATGGTATCATGCCATCTGCAAATAGTGAGAATTTGACTTCTTCCTTTCCTGCTGGGATGCCCTTGATATCTTTTTCTTACCTAACTGCTATGGCAAGTACTTCCAGTACTGTATATGCGAGAATGGGCAAACTTGTGCTTGATCTTAGAGGGAAAGCTTTTAGTTTTTCCCCATTTAGGACAATGCTTGCTGTGGGCTTGTGGTAGATGATTTTGACTGTATTGAGGAAAGTTTCTTCAATTCACATTTTGTTTAGAGTTTCTATCATGAATGGGTGCTGGATCTTATCAAATGCTTTCTCTGTGATCATATGATCATACAGTTTTTATCATTTATTGATATGATGTATTATGTTGATTGATTTGGAAATGTTAAACCATCCTTGCATCTCCAGGATGAATCCTACTTGATCATGGTGTATGATTTTTTTAGTGAGTCATTGAATTTGGTTTGCTAGTATTTTGTTGAGGATCTTTGCATCTGTGTTCATCAAGAATATCGGCTTGTAATTTTCCTTCTTTGTGGTGTCTCTGTCTGCTTTAGGTATCAAGGTGATACGTCCTCATAGAAACTGTTTGGGAGTGTTTCTCTTTCTTCAGTTCCCTAAAAAGTCTTGGAAAGGATTGGCAGTAGGTCCTCTTTAAATGTTTGGAAGAATTCACAAGTAAATCCATCTGGGCCTGGGCTTTTGTTTTTGGGAAGAGTTTTGATTACCATTTCAATTTTCTCAGTAGTGATAGATTTGTGCAAGTGGCACAGATCTTGGTTCAGCCTTAGGAGTTCATAGGAATTCAGCGATATATTTATTTCTTCAAGGTTCTCTTGTTTGGTAACATAAAGATTCTCAAAGTAATCTGATGGCCCTTTGAATTTCCGTGCTTCCTGTTGTGATGTCCCCCTTTTCATTTCTGATTCTGTTTATTAGGGTTCTTTCTCTTTCATTGTGAGTCTTGCTGTTGGTTAATTGATCTTGTTTATTTTCTCAAAGAACCAGTTCTTGGTTGCATTGATCTTTCAGGTTGTGCTTTGGGACTCCAGCACGTTAGTTCTGGAAGCTCTTACTTGGAACTGACAGGAAGAGAGCATTGTGCAGCCATTTGAAAGCCCCACTGCCTTAAAACAGAACACTTTTGGGTCTGTGACGCCAGGCCCCAGGGCACATGCTGCGCTCTCAGCGTTACAGTACAGGGCTGCTTGTTCCTCCTGCTGTTCCCCTGAAGCCCCACTTTTTGCTCGCCATTAGGAGAAATCTGCAGAAGCCTTCCTGAGTGCTTTTATAGCCATTACTGGATTGGATGTCAGGGATTGAATTTGGGGATTGAACTTGGGTCGGCTGTATGCAAGGCAAGTGCCCACCCCACTGTTCTGTTGCTCTGGCCCCAGCCATAATTTGATTTCTTACCAATACCGATGCAAGTGGATACTTTTTAAAACGAAGGATCTGAGGTGAGCAGATTTTTTGCACAGGGTCTGAGACAAGAGTTTTTGTATAAGTGTGAGGAAATGGAGACGTTAGGTGCTGGTGTGAGTGGTTTGCAGAACACACCGGCCATTCTCCTCCAGCTGTCTTCCGATATGTCGTATACAACTGGGATGGGTTAAAGGTGTTTTTTACTTAAGTGAAAATGATTGACTTGGAGACAGGTATTACAGCAGATAGTGTGTTTACCTTGCACGCAGCCGGCCTGGGTTTGATCCCTAGCACCACATACGGTCCCCTGAGCCCTCCAGGAGTGATCCCAAGCACAGAGCCAGAAGTAAGCCCTGAACATGCTGGGAGTGACCAGAAGAAGAAAGAAAGAGAAAACAATCCATGTTTCCTTTTTCAACCTTGTTTCCTTCCTGTGGGTGTCCTGTCCTGACTGAACCCCCAGTCCCGGATCATGCACACCCCCCCCTTCATTTATTGTGACTATCACCCGTAGCATTCGTGAAATATTCCTGGGGCCCATCGATGCCCATGCAACCCCCCAGCTGAGAAATGCTTCTCTTTCTTTTCTGAATCCCATCTTCCGTTGATTCTGAAGCTTCTCTTGTGCTAGGTCACCTCTAAGTTTCTCGCTGTTCTTGACTGTTGTTCCCGTAACTGCCTGGATGACTTAAAATGCACATGTTCAGGCTGGAGCGGTAGCACAGCGGGTAGGGCGTTTGCCTTGCACGTGGCCGATCTGGGTTCGATTCCCAGCATCCCATATGGTCTCCTGAGCACCGCCAGAGTAACTCGTGAGTGCAGAGCGAGGGGTAATCCCTGTGCATGGCCGGATATGACCCAAAAAGCAATAAATAAATAAAAGCACATTCTTGGGCTCTCACTCAAACCCACAAAGTCAGACTCTCTGGAAAGCATTGAGTTCTTCAGCCAATTTGTGTGGCCACTAAAATTGGATTAGTTAATCCTAATTTGAAAATAAGTAGCAGACAAGTGTGATATCCTGAGGGGAAGGAACACCGCCAGCCAACCCGCAGAACCCTTGCCTGGTGGGAGGGAAGGGGGCCTGTGGCTGAGAGGATTGTGGAGCTCATCCTGAATATGTATCTCTGATATTTCAACAGTATCGTGCTCTAATGGAAGAGCTAAATCGTAGCAAGAAGGACTTTGAAGCAATCATTCAAGCCAAGAACAAAGAATTGGAGCAGACCAAGGTACTGGAAGAAGAGGAAGGTTTAGAGTTTGGTTAGTATGTGTAACACAACAGCTTCAGCAGTGCAGGAGTGCTGTGGTCAGGGGAGAGGTTCTGCTCTTCCAGCCTCACAGGGAGGAATCCCCACAGTTACTTGGGCCTGTGGCCAGGTAGATAGTTGAAGACCCCCACATCCACCAGTCTGGTCTTCAGTTTCTTTGGTCTTTTTTCTCTATATATTACAGTTAGTTGTCTAATAGATACTTTTGGAGTGTTTTGGTGGCACAGCTTAAGGAGTGGGGCAGTCTTGGTTTCTTTGGGGGACCTATAGCCCCGTGGTGCTCAATGCTTACTGCTGGCAGAGTCCGGGGAAACACAACCTCATTTGGGTGCTTATAAGGCAAGAAAGAGATTTACCTGCTGTATTCCCTCTCTGACCCCCAGAGAGTAGTATAGTTTTAAAAAATAGTTCATCCTATAATTCTTTTTTACAGCTAATCAGTGGAACTCCTACACTAGAGATTATAAGCTCAGATGCCTGCCAGGAGAGTCATGTGGCCAAGTTACATGAGATAGTAGCTAATGGTGAAGACAGTAACTGATGGCAAACACCGGGGTGCCCCCCACCCCTACACCTTCCCCCACCCCCTCTTCCACTCTCTGCCACTCTTTCTGCACCCCCTTTTCACTTCTTCCCCCTCTCCTGCCCCTTTATCCCACTGTTCTTTCTCAAAGGCAGATCTGCTCTGTTGCGACCAGAAATTATATATAGCCCTGTGCTATGAGAGCTTCTGAATTTTTGACAGAATATGAAAATCCAAATGTTTATGTAAGATACTCCAATTTGAAACACTAGAAATGAGTTTATTGTTATTGTTGTGATTATATTTTTAATAGCATGATCGCCAGACAGACCAGAGTCTGTATGCTGGATCCTGTCCCCAGGCCACCAGTTAGCAGCCTGTAGCCGGAAGTCAGTGCACTGGTGTGACCACATCTCTCAGCCTCCAGCTCTATGGCAAAGAGGATAGGAAAGAAAAAATCTCTTTCTGGTTCTAATCTTACTCTGTCTTAATTACAGAGAAACTTCTCCAACCTTCAAGAAACCTACTGCATTTAAAAATACTCAACTGTTCATGAGTTCTCAGAAAATTTGATTTTAGTAAAAATGGATCCAAACTCTCTGCAGATCCCTGAGAATCCTGGCAGTGTTTGCTTGGCTTTGGAAAGAAAATAAAAAGATAATAAAATTCATCAACTACACACGTATAGTCAGAGTGGCCGTTCCTCTCTCCCTCTCATCCTGGTGCTTTTTGTTTGGTGGACGAGGTGCTAACATATACGTCCGCTTCAAGAGAACACATTTAAAAACTGTGCCCATGAGGTGATCAGATGTCTTGTAGGAAGCGTAGGGAAGGTATCCAGCAGACCCCGTAGGGATGGAAACGAGCAAGTACCTCTCAGGCCCAGCCTCAGGGAGCCAAGAGGCAGCGCAGAGCGCAGAGAAGCTCCCAGACCAGTTTCAACTTCCTGTCTCGGAGGACTGCTCTTCCCATCTCCTGCCTTGCTTAGAGAGCTCTGGAACTACGTCAGCTACTTTTGGTTAATTTGGGGATGGAGACAAACTGCAATGCAGATAGTGAAAGAAAAGCAGAGAGCTGGGAGGAAGGAGGGCAGGGACCTCTGGGAAAGCAGTTCTGAGCAACGGTATCCTGCAGGGAAAGTTCTATTCTTCTGGGACGGTGCTGGAATGAATTTTTAATTAAGACTTCTCCTGTGTCCTGTCCCCTTGCTGTTTTGCATTCTTGTTCCTTCTCCCAAATGACAGGTCTGGATTGTGCTATCTTTGCAGGAAGAGAAGAAGAAAGTGCAGGCACAGAAGGAGGAAGTTCTTAGCCACGTGCATGACGTGCTGGAGAATGAGCTCCAGTGTATTATTTGCTCCGAATACTTCATAGAGGTACTTGGGAGCAGTGGCTCCCGCTTCCTTGCTCTCCCAACCCGGAATGGAACGTGGGCCATCCAGCACAGGTCACAGCAGCTGTAAGGAAACGTCCCGAAGAGAGTTTTCTTCCATGAATTTACTGTAGCTATTTGATCTCAAAGTGACCTCTAGAGACGATCAAATATCATTTGTGTTCTATTCACTGTCCTTTTTTTTTTTCTTGTTCTTGAGTATTTATTGGTATAATTAAATTTTAGAACTGAAAATAAAGTCATCACCACTGGTGGGGAGGAAACAGCCTCATAGCTTTAGAATTTTTTTTTAAGTAGCAGAATAAAGCATCTCAGTAAAGCTATTTTTTTACTCAGAAGGGGGCATGGTGCTGAGTGGGTGTGTAGAGCAGCTTTTAAGCAGGGTGGTGAATTGTCAGCGCTGTGTGGTTACTGTGGGAATTCAGCAATTCAGTGGAGCATACTTCAGGGACTCTGAGCGCCTTATGAAGATGAAACATCTAGTCTGTGAAAATTTTGCATTCTTTCATTTTTCACAGATTCTCCCATTTGTGACCAGTTCATCTGAGAAGTGTAAAACTCAGGTTGTTAAATGACGCTGCTTTTTAGGTGCCCTTAAGAAAGAAAATGTGTACACGTACACATTTTCCCTTTTTTCAGGTGGTCTTTATGGAGGGCCTGCCAAAGGAAGACAAGAAAAGGGAGATCAGAGTGGGAGGGATTAGCCAGCCTGGAGCATCTGCACAGATATTTAAGAGACAGTCTGGCTGTGTGGTTTGACAGCACACTGCCTGCCTGACCTTTTCTACCAGTCACCTCTTAAAGGCAGTGTTGGAAAAAGGTTTCATTTTAATCAGACAGATTTTGGTCTGTTTATTAGAGTTTATTTCACATAGTAAACAGGGTGTCTTGGCTTTCTGGGCCCAAATTGACTTTTAAAAATACATAATTTTTATGTTATTCTACACTTAAGCCCTAAATTCAGGAAAGCAGACAGACTTTTGAGCCCCAGAAAAAGTTAGGTCTTAGGAGATGTAAACAAGAATAACAAAGAGAGTGGTTTATATTCTTGACAATAAAAAGGGTCTGCAGAAATCTGATCTGCAGATCCAGGCTTCCCTCTGCTTCTTCTCTTCTCATGGGGTTCAGACACTGTCCCTGAACACAGTACTCTTTGTTGTTGTTACATTTTTTTCAAATCACGTTTTTTTAAAATTTTATTTATTTATTGCTTTTTGGGTCACACCTGGAGATGCACAGGGTTTACTCCTGGCTCATGCACTCAGGAGTTACTCCTTGCGGTGCTCAGGGGACCATATGGGATGCTGAGAATTGAACCCTTGTCAGCCACATGCAGGGCAAACTCCTTACCCGCTGTACTAACTCCAGCTCCTCGGATCACCATTTTACTGATGTCTTTTACATTGACTTTGAGCAGAGATGATGCCTTTTACCTTTCAACCCATTGAATACTTAATATATTCTCCCCCTTTATTTATTCATTTACTTATTTATTTTGCTTTTTGGGTCACACCCAGCGATGCTCAGGGGTTACTCCTGGCTCTGCCCTCAGGAATTACTCCTGGCAGTGCTCAGGGGACCATATGGGATGCTGGGAATCGAACCCGTGTCAGCTGCGTGCAAGGTAAATGCCCTACCCACTGGGCTACCGCTCCGGCTCCTGTTCTCCCCCTTTATAAGTAAAGATTGAAGTTCTGATTTGCCAATAACTGGACATAACTTATTTTCCTAAGAAAATTAGTGATGCATTTTGACTCAAGATTTGTGTACAAACCTACTTGTGTTTGGTGACCTTTTTTCCCCAAGAAAGTTAATCCACATTGGCAGAAAGAGTTGGTAGAACAGAACAGACAAATGAGCTTGCCTGGGGCCTGAATCTATGAACTTCACTTTGAGAAATGACAATGAATTGTCTAATCTGAAGCTTAAAATCTCCTATCCCCAGGAATAATTCTAATGTCCTTTGTAAGTCCCCAGATTCCATGACAGCAAGCTTTCCATTTGGCCCTCGGGTTGTGTCTGTGTGGGGAAGCAACAACTCTGATACCTGTGCTTACCTTCCCCACAGGCTGTCACCTTGAATTGTGCCCACAGTTTCTGCTCGTACTGCATCAGTGAATGGATGAAGCGGAAGATAGAATGCCCCATTTGTCGGAAGGACATCAAGTCCAAAACCCATTCCCTGGTTCTGGACAACTGCATTAATAAAATGGTGGAAAATCTGAGCTCAGAGGTGAAAGAACGACGAATTGCTCTCACTAGGGAACGAAGAGGTAGGTGATGTGATCAGAGGCGTCCTCTCAACAGAGAATCTAAGAAATGAAGAGGAAGTGGAAGCAATGGGACTTACTGGTAATGTGAGGAAGGACTCGGGTAGAATTAATTTGTTGACTTGAGCTCAGGGGCTAAGAGGAGGCTAAAAAAGTATGTGCCTTGGTTATGGGGCTGATTAGAGTGCCAGAGAGAGTTAGACGGGTCAGGCACTTGCCCTGCATACACCCACCCCAGTTTAATTCCTAATACCTCACGTGGTCTCCAAGCCCCATCGGGAGTGACCCAAAACACAGAGCCAAGTGTGAGCTTTAACCACAGCCAGGTGTGGCCTGGACCCATCCCTTTGGTCCCCCCGAAAATGGTTTGAAGCCACTGGGTCTGACAGTTTGCTGCATTTGTACTAGCCGCTAGATGGTGCTGTTGTTCAAGACAGTTTGGTCGTTGACTGGGTGTTGCAAAATCCTTGGGTTGAGCATGTAATAAATTATAGATGAAATGTGTGTGTCAAAGATCTGAACATGGAGAATGAAGAAGACACATACATAGGCAAAATGAGTCACAGTTTAAATAACAAACTGGGCATAATGTTAAGCCAGAGAGAGAGAAACTTAATTGACGGTGTGTTCTTTAGGGATCCTACTATATTTACCAGCAGGTCTCCCAGCAGGATCAAGGTTGGGGGGGCATGGCTGAGTTTCCCTGACCCGCACTTCCATAGTGAATAGCTGCTCGTTTAACCGGGTAATTTCACTCCCAGGCCTGCTATTTTAAAGGCTGCACAAGACCTGAATATACTTAGGGTGAAAGGATGTGTCCTGGGGAAATGTATGAGGCAGCTAATGGATAGTAAGGGCGGGTGTGGGAGGAGGGGGAGAGTACATAGAAGCAGGGACGATAGGAATTTGTTCTGGTCCAGAAGAGCAGTGCCTTCCAGGAACCTCGGTCTCTGCCAGTCCTATCAGAGAAGAGGAGCTCAGTCCCTGCAGAGGCTGCTTACGCCTGTCCGTTGGCCTTTTCTGTCACCTGTGCTCAAACGTAGGTCTGTGTGTGCTCTAAGTTCAGAGAAGCAGAGGCCTAAAGGGTGCCTGGCCGCACTGGGCATCAGCTCAATGATTCGGATACTTGAGGCCCTGGCTTCTGTTCCCAGCAACACCACCAGCAAAATGGAGCCATGTAGCTGCACATGGGACCTCCTGGTCCCTACACCTCTGTCCTGAGGAGCGACTGTCACTGTTGCGGACTTGTAGGCAGCCGCGATGTGAAATTGACCATGACTTGTGTGCCAGGGGAGAGGTGGCAAGTGTGCTGCAGTGTCAGGAGTAAGGGTGCTGAACTTGTTTTGACCCAGAAAGATGTTCTGGTCTTTGCCCTCCAACCTGTGTCTTTGCTCTCCGACCTGTGGGATGGTGGTGGTCTTTGGAAGCAAAATACTTTCCACTTAATCGACAGTTGTGAACTTTGGGGCTTCGTGCCAGTTCTGAGCCCTTCAAAAGATATTTTAGCTATCCAGAGCCACTTGATTCTGGCACAGTCCCATTGCTGTCCCTTCCCATAACCTGTCACTCTGACTGCATTTCTATATATCTCTTTACACACCAGGATAGAGGTGAACTGAGGACATGGAGAGGGGGCAGGCATGGGGGGCTCGCTCCTTTCTTCTTGTGTCATGATCCTTTCTACCCCTCCATTGTGACATGGGACCAAGCTAGTACTGGGAGAAAAAAGTCTTGGGGTCCCCCGCCCACAGCTTCTGTATCTCCCAGACTGTCGCATGCTCAAATTCTGTGTCCTCTCCTCCGCACCTTGGATAGTGGAACTTGTCACATCACCTACTTGCCTTTTACAAACTGGGAGCGCCGAATTATCCTTCTCTCTCAGTGTGTAAATGATCCCAGCCCCCACCACTCCCATTTCTCTCCGAGGGCGAATGTGGTGCCTCTGTCTTTGGTATCCCAGGGAGCCTGCACCAAGGATTGTCAGCCTCCCTCTTGCATTCATTGGCTGAGAGCAGCCCTGGCACCAGGCTCGATTTCTGCACTTATCACAGTGACTGCAGCTTTGAGGTTGTCTCTGGAGAGAGACAGAAGGTTTTGAAGCCCGATTTAGAGAAACATGTGCCCGAGCCGTCAGCAGCTTCACTGGGCTGCAGCGTGGGGTTTAGAGAAAAATTCTCAGCTCTGACCTTCCTGCCAGTTGAAAGCAGTTTAATCCCCAGTGCATGGGAATTTTAAAAAGGGCCAAATTTAGAATCTGGGAACTTGGATTGGCGCGCTTACAGCTGTCGGCGTTTTCCTCCCGGGCTGGGATTGCTCTTATCACAGGCTCGAGGAGACCTTTCTGTCCGTGGTGGCATCCTGGGACCTGGGTTTCGCCAGGAGCAGCCCGTCCCTGCTCTATCCCCTCAGGAGGAGTCATTCTTCGTGACTGATGAGCTCTGAACCCTTGTAAGCTCTGTGAGACCTGATTACAGAGGAGAAGAGGAGGGGGGAGGTGGTCTGCTGCCAGACCTGCTCAGAGGTGCTGCAGAGCCTGGCAGATAACACTCTCCAGGCCGGTGGCTGTCACATGAGTGATGGTGTCTTTCCAGAATATTGGCAGGAGATCTTTTATTATTATTATTATTTTTTCTGTAGGGGAGTCTTTTTGATGTCTAGAACTGGTGAGGGGCTGGAGTCGGGTCTCTGTCAGTCATGCTTCCAGCTTCCCTGTTGGTTCTGTTCTCATTAGGTGTTTGTTGGTTGCTTCTATTAATAGTCTCACTTTTTACTTTCTCTGGTAGTTTCTTTTGATTGTACTCAGAAAAGAAGCACAAATTTTCTAGAAATAAAAGAGCCTGTTGGTCCTTTAAAATTTAAGTGGTGCTTTTTTTAGTTCAGTTTATCTAACCATGTCCAATCCCCAGCAGCACCAGTTTGTGATAATAAAGGCTGACATTCTCTGCCTTTGGGAATGTGCCCTCAGGTGTGCCAACAGTGAAGAGGAAGTGATGAAGCATAGCATTTTTGGGTTGGAAGACCCTAGTCTCCAGAGGGTGGGGTTCCAGCAGATCTAGGAAGACTGGCTGGGTCAGGGCATGTGGCTTGGGGTGCTTCTGGCTTCTGCAGGCAGAGGGATGTGATTCAGATGTAGCACAGAAGTGTGTAGTCTCTGAAGAGTGCCCGCCTGCCGGCCCTTTGGAAGATTCCCTGGTCCTGCCCTTCTCCCTTGCTGAAAGAAGGGGGCTGGTAAGAAAGAAGATGCAGGTACCTGGCAAGTGACCCTTTGGGCTGTGTCAGACACTCTGTCTCTCAGCAAGGTTGGTGTGTGGCGAGGCTGTGCACATCATTCAGATTCCATGTAACACTGAATTGTTCATGTGTTTTATAATCGGATCTGTCGTGGGTTTCTCAGGGATCAGAGAGACAGCATCTCCCACCCATCACCTCTCTCCACAGGCACCCAGAAAGACTTTGACAGTTTGAGGAGTGAACGTCTTAGAGTATGATTCATGATTGTTCAGTGCACCCCAAACACAAAGATGCCTAGATGAGGGAACCAATGTCTGTAGGGTGAAGAGATCCAGACTGGCCTGGAAGTCAGGAGCTCTGGGGAAACTCCCTTCACCCCACTTCCTGTAATGCTGAATGGGAGGACCAGCCCTTGCAGGCAGGAAGCACTTCAGACGTTTCTCCTGGGTGGGTGGGTGGGTGGGTGGGGTCCCATTTTAAAAAAATGATGAGTTACTTTGATTCTCCTAAAGAGTGGACCCTCACTCCCCACTAACATAGAGCGTTATGATTTGTTTTTCAGATATAATTCCAGGAACTTCATATTGTAGAAGACCACTTTTATAAATACAAAGTAGGGCTGTTAAGCCAAGAACTTGTCCTTGAAAGTGTCTTGTTTCCTGCCCTTAACTGAACACAGCGTTTTTGATGCAAAGCCCGAATAAATTTTAATTCTTTCTAAGATTTCCTTGAACTAATCATGGGAAGTGACTAGGGTCACTGCTGCCGTGTGACAGTGCCACAGTATTGGCTGCAACCTCCTTCCCCCCCCCCCCCCCCCCCCAGGTGCCTGCCTGCTGCAGTGGTCATGAGAAGCGCCCGAGAGGGTGGGGAGGATAGCGCCCAGGGCTGCGGGGCCGTGGAGCCGGTGCCCCTGGCCTTAGCAGCGCATGCGCACGCCACTCTGCCGAGTGTCCCTGGGTCTGGGGCCCGGGGCGCTGCTCGGGGAAACGTCCCCTCTCCTAAGGAAACGCGCTGTGGAAAGGCGCGACGTGTCTGTCCCTGGCGACGGCCGCGCAGCCTCGAATGCGCGCCTGGGCTCCCCTCGGTCAGAGCCCGGCAGAGGAAAGCGCTTCCGCTTGCTTGCGCACTTGCTCCCGGGCCTGCCTTGCTGAGGTGGCCGGTGCCCAGGGTGGCCGTGGGCGGCCCCTCTGCGGGCGGGCAGGGTCCCCCGAGCGGCCAGGGACGGGGTGTCCGGGGGCCGGGCGAGGGCGCGCCCGTGGCGAGGCGGCCAGAACAGGCGGGAGTTGGGGGTCTGGCTTGGTCCGGGGGCCGGGGGTCGACGTCGCTCCGCCTCAGGGGACTGACTGCAAGAGGCAGAGAGGAGCCCCTCGAGGGCCACACCTTGCTGTCGGCTCCTGTGAGCGCGACTGGGAAAGTGACCGAGTCTAGAAAAGACGCGGAGGCGAGGAAGAGCGGCCGGCGCCGGGTTCTGGGGGCGAACGTGCGCCTGCGGGGGTCGTCGCGCCCCCACAACCTGAGCTGCTGAGGAGTCGGCCAGAGTAGGTGCCGCCAATGGGGACGGCGGGCGCGGGCGCCGACGGCGCGCCTGCTGCAGACCGGGCTTGAGGCTTCGGGAAACTGGCTGGGATGGGCGGGAGCAGCGCCGGGAGCAGGCTGTGATTGGGCGAGGCCGCACCGAGAGCAGGCTGTGATTGGGCAAGGCCGCACCAGGAGCAGGCTGTGATTGGGCAAGGCCGCCCCCGGGAGCAGGCTGTGATTGGGCGAGGCCGCCCCCCCCGGGAGCAGGCTGTGATTGGGCGAGGCCGCCCCCCCCCCCGGGAGCAGGCTGTGATTGGGCGAGGCCGCCCCCGGGAGCAGGCTGTGATTGGAGGGAAGCAGGTGGAGGAGGGTTTTATTTTATAGTCGGCTAAGAATTGGTTGCAGGAAAATTTCCCTTTCCCTCTTGTCAGGAATCCTAAACGCAGTAGGATGTGAATGAATGAGTAAAAATGTATGGGTTGAATATGTTTGACTGTTGATAGGGAAGATTCTGTAGAGAAGTGGCTGAAGAGCCAAGGGAGCAGACCTTGAGGCTGGTGGAATTGCTTGGACGGAGGAGAAGAGGAAATGCAGAGCGTATTGGAAGGGAATACTTTTCTCTTTTTCTCTTTTTTTTCCTTTCTCTAGCAGTGCTCAAGGGCCGGGAGGGTGCCACTTGCAATGACACTTGGCCTGTTCTTCAGGCCCAGCAGTGCTGGGGTCCCAGGTCCCCCCAGTGGTGCTCAGAGGACATACACTGCTGGAAATCAAACCCTAGCTCGAAGGAAACAGACTTTGCTTCACTAAAAAAAAAAAAAAGTATATTGGTAAGGGTAGGAATGTACATTTGCTTGAAGAAAGTCAAGAAAATTTTTTGGGTTTCGCGTTTTCACTTGTCGATCTCGTAAAGTAGGTCTGATTCGTGCTACTAAGGAAAAACGAAGTGAAGGAGTCAGGGCCTGGGAGAATATCTTAGAGACCTGCAGTGTGGCAGCCCCGCTTCAGTTCAGACCCCAGAACTGCGTGGTCCTCTGAGCACTGCCAGGGGTGGCCCCCGAGTCTCCTCCCCACCCCTCTTTACACCCCCCCCCCCCCCCCCCAAAATGGTTGAACAGTGGTGGGAAGGGCATTGTCAGACCTGGGTACGGAAACCAAGAAATCATCTCCAAGATGTATCTGAAGAAGAAGCTCTGAAGGCAGCGGGCAGGCTACCAAGTGGGCCAGTGCCCTTGGCAAAGAAGGAAGGGAAAGCTGGGCACGCAGCCCAGGGTGAGAAGCAGCATGGCTGCAGTGGACGGGAGGTTGGGCTCCTTGCGGAGGGTCTAAGAGGCTTTTGGAAGGGCTTTCACTTTGGCTCTGGGAGATGTGGGGTGTGATTTTGAGCAGGAAGCCATGGACTCCAGCTTCTCTTTCAGGGCATGGCTGCTCTGCATGGGGAAGAAATTGAGGCTGTTGGAGGAAGGCTGGTGACCTACTTCAGCCTCTTCCTTAATTTCTCTCTTCTTTCTCTCCAAAGCAGAAAAACCATCTTGATGTCCAGGTTCCAGGGGCATTTGGAAGATTGCCAAGCAGTGGGGACTCGGAATGGTCTGGAAGATCCTCTGTAGATGGTCTTGGGCCAGTCTGGGACAGAGCATGAAACTGCCACGCGGACAGACTGGGGGGCACGGATCCCCCTTCCACATGGCCAACCACCTGCTGCCCCCTTGCGGCGCTCCTGGACCCACCACCCCCACTCCTGGGCTCAGCGAACGAGTCCCCACACGTGGAACAGGCTGTGTGGTTCTGTTGCGCTTTTCAGATTTACTGTTCTGTTATTGTTTGGGTACCCCAGAAGCACCTCTGTTGACTTGTTTTAGACAACTGGTTGTGCCCTGACGGCTGCCCTGAAGTGAAGGGGGCTTCTACCTGCAAAAATGGCTCACCTCTTCTTCGTGAAAACAAGATGATATTTCTTGGAAATAAAATGTAGAAGCCTGTTGGTTGCTCAGCTGGGCTTTGGCGTATTTGTCTTCCCTTCCTGCTCTCAGTCTCATAGATAAAAACACTAGTGGCTCATAAATTGCAACCTAGAAAGTGTATCAGGGTGGAGTCAGCTTTATCAGCCCACGGAGCCAGCCAGGCTCAGGCCAGAGGCCACAGCAGGGTGAGCTCTATGTGGCTCCAACCGTTGTCTTTTCCTTTTCTTTCCAGGGGGGTATTGCTGCAGCGAAGCTGTTTTTAGGGTAAGGTAAACCTCAGGATAAGGATAACCTTTCAGCTAGGGTTTGAAAGTTGTTTTTTAATCGATTTCCTAAATGCCGGGCCCGGTGTGATAGCACAATGGGTAGGGCCAACCTGGGTTCGATCCCCAGCATCCCATATGGTCCCCAAGAACCGCCAGGAGTGATTCCTGAGTGCAGAGCCAGGAGAAAACCCCTGAGCATTGCCAGGTGTGACCCAAAATCAAAGGTCATTTTTCTTGCCTTCCCTTTATAAAAAATACCAGTTTGATATTTGAGAGATACAGCTTAGGAAAATCTGTGGTGTCTGTGATGAGAATTAGGTGGGAGAGTGTTTATTTGGAAGTAGGGTTTTCTCCATAATATGTCGGGGATTTTGTTTATTGTTCGGTTAATTTGTTTTTGGAGGCCATACTCAGCAGTGCTCAGAGCTTTTTCCTTTCTCTGCACTCAGGGATCACTCCTGGCGGTGCTCAGAAGGCCCTATGGGGTGCCGGGATGGAACCCTGCCCCGGGAAAGAGTACTGTCAATATAATGGTCTCTTATTTTCCCCATGTATGTGATAAGGCGTAATTTTTTTTTTTTTTTGCTAAGTTCACATCTGTTCAAACACAAAACACTGGACTCTCAATTTGACAAAATCCTGCCAAGTTTTTGGCTAAAGCACCTCTGGAGTGGGGGGACAGCCCAGGGTCAGAGCACATGTCCTATGCTCCTGGGTCCCAGCATTACCAGCTGTAGCCCTTGGTGGCCCCCACGCAGCACCAGAATCACTCTAGTGCCAAATAACATGACCTGCTACAGCCCTAGCATGGAGCCACCTTATGTGGTTGGCTGAGAATTGTGAGACGGCCCCCAACCACCCGAGGAGTCCCCCTCCAAAAAATAAATGAAACACCTGCCTTGCAGACGTGAGGCCATGAGTTCCACCCCTGCTGCTGTCCATGTGTGCCCAGTGTGGTCCTTACAGCTCTGCCACCTGGATCGCCAGCATCATAGTGTCTCGAGCAGAGGGTGCAAACCCTGCAAACAGAGACCCCCGTTGAGTGCCCTGCCACCACTGAAGGCTTGAGCCCCAGGGCATGACAACTGCAGCTGAAAGGGAAGAGGAGGGAAAATAAAGCAGACCTGACTGCCGGGAGTTTCCCACAGTGACAGCCTTGCTCCCCAGGGCTGGGGAGAGACCTCTGCGGACCTGGAGCACAGGCTGCGCATGTGGGAGGCACGGATTTTTTTTTTTTAATTTTCATTAGTGAAACACCATGAGGTACAGTTGTAGACTTAAAATTTTTGTGCTTGGGTTTCAGTTACACAATGATCAAATACCCATCCCTCCACCAGTGCCCATTCTCCACCACCAATGATCCCAGTAGCCCTCCCACCCCTCCTCCCCTCCCCATCCCACCCTGCCTCTGTGGCAGGGCATTCCCTTTTGTTCTCTCTCTCCTTTTGGGTGCTGTGGTTTGCAAAAGAGGCATTGAGTGGCAATCGTGTTCAGTCTATAGTCTACTTTCAGCATGCTTCTCCCATCCTGGGAGGATCCTCCCAACACCCTTTACTTGGTGCTCCCTTCTCTATCTGAGCTGCCTTTTCCCCTAGCATGTGCGGCTGGGGAGGCACGGATTTGATCCCTAGTACTCATTGTCCTCTAAGCAAACGAGCTGGGAATAGCCTCAGAATACTGCTGGGTGTGGCCCCAATATTTTAAATAGTTGACCTGTGCCCAGTCATTGCAAGAAAAAGACAGTGCGGTCACTGCACAGCCACATACGGGCACAGCAAGGAGGGCATTTGCCTTGCACACAGCTGACCTGGGTTCAATTCCCAGCATCCCATATGGTCCCCCGAGCACCACAAGGAGTGCATGAGCCAGGAGTATCCCCTGTGCATCACTAGGTGCAACCCAAAAAGCAAAAAAAAAAAAAAAAAAAAAAAAAAAAAAACCAACCAAAAAACCCAGCCACATACATTTTGATAGGATATGGACTTGAGAGAATGAGCTGCTTCAGTCAAGTTTCTTTACTACTAATCCTTGAAAGTTGTGTTGGCGGGATAGATCAGTTGCTCCCTAGCTGGAAGCCTGCCTCATGAGCAAAGGGGAGAAGGAAGCTGGAATAGAGAAGGGATCACTAAGAAAAAGATGGCTGGAGGAATCGGCCGGGATGGGAGATGTGTGCAGAAGAACCAAACATAGTAACCTCTCAGTGTCTGTATTGCAAACCATAATGCCCCGAAGTAGAGAGAGAGTATGGGGAACATTGTCTGCCACAGAGGCAGGGGGAGGGTGGGAAAGGGGGGGGTATACCGGGGATACTGGTGGTGGGGGATGTGCACTGGTGGAGGGATGAGTGTTTGATCATTGTGTGATTGTAACCCAGACATGAAAGCTTTTACCTACCTCACGGTGATTCAATAAAATTAAAAAAAAAAAGAATGTTGTTTTGGGGAGTCAGAGAATGCAGCACTCAGCATACACCCAGTCCAGCTTCAGTTTCCAGTGTGACATGGTCTCCAGAGCATTGCTGGCTGCAGCTCTGGGGCTCCCCGGCAGTGCTGGAGTGGCCCAACTCCCCGGCACTGCATCCCTGCATTGAGAACTGCCACTGAGTTCTGGGACCTGGGACCTCCTGAGCACTACTTGGGAGCCCCCCACCCCCCAAAAAAGGCTATGTGCCCTGCTCGGGAACTCCCAGCGAGCTGTGCAGTTTGTATCATCTGCTGGTTCTCACAGCATGAATGGCTTTAGTAGCTACCAAGAATACTGTCCCGCCTTTGCTCTGGTGTGGTGGCTGCACTGGACACCCAGGAGTTGGATGATGCCCACCTCAGGCCAGATGGTCACTATGTTGGGGCCCACTGGACCCCACTTTGTCTCTTTTGTGGGTTGCATCCAGCAGTGTTCAGGGCTTGCTTCTGGCTTTGCATTCAGGGTGCGTACTCCTAGTAGGACTTGAGGGACCGTCTGTGGTGTCAGGAATCAAACCTGGGTCAGCCACTTGCCAGGACAGCACCCTACCTGCAGTGCTCTCTTGAGCACCTGCACCCCACTTTTAATGCCACCAGCCAGAAGCATCTTTGTACATACCTCACAAGCTCCGGATGTGCAGACACAGAGCTAACAGACCCGGCTCTTACTGGGTCCCTGCACAGAACTTTTTGGGTGATTTGAAGACTCTCTCCCTGTAGAGTACTACCCCCCACCACACACACACCCTCCCCTCAAGTTCGCTACTCCGGTTAAGAAAGTGAGCTCTTAATTACAGACTTTCAAAAGGGGAGAATAAAGTTTAGCTGTCAATCTGAATTGGTTTGAATCCCTGCTTTGGTTTGTTTATTTGGTTTGGTTTGGGGGCTCGATGCTACAGTGCTCAGGGCTTGCTGAGCACTGAGCAAGCACTGAGCATTTCTGGTCTTAGAAATCAGTCCTGTTGGGCTCAGGACCATATGGGCTGCAGGGACTTCAGCAACATGCAAGGCAAGTACCTACCCTCGGTACTGTCTGCTCCACATCCCTGCTTTCTATAACTCCATGGCCTTGAGCCAATCCCCCAGTCTTTCTGAGCCTAGGTGTCTATTTCTAAAACACCCCATTGTATTCTTTTTTTTTTTTTATTTCTTTATTGAATCACTGTGGGAAAGGTTACAAAGCTTTCAGGTTTATGTCTCAGTCATGCAAATATCAAACACATTTCCCTTTACCAAAACTTATTTTTTACCATGAAGAACCCCAATAAAACCCCACCCCTCACCCTCCCAGTCCCTGTGAGGCAGATGAATTCTAGTTAACACTATCTGCTTTGATTAGATTCATTGTTTCAATAAAAGATTCACCACTATTATTTAGAGTTTACCCCCCCCCCCCAAATCAGACATGCTGAAAAAGCATTGTGAAGTGATTTGCTTTCTACAGCTGGGTTCAAGAATTAAATGTTGGTTTTGGATTTCTGCTATTTTACTTATTGAACCTGGAAGTATTTCTACTGAAAGTCAGATAGTTAAGAAATTGGTTTCTGTGCACTGGAGACGTGGCCGTGCTGGAGAGCCGCTAGTGGGGGGCAACTGGTGGCCTCAGTAGGGCGTGAAGGGCGGACCGAAACGCCCCCCTTCCCATGAGGTTTTAGTCGCCCCCACTACCCCGGCTCATACCTGCTGTCCACAAGGCTCCCATGCGGCCGCCATCTTTCTTTCCAGAGAGGAGAAGGCGACTGGGGCAACACCCTTTCCCCTCTGGACAGACCTGATGGCCTGGATTAACGCATAGTCCATTCACTTTTCTGCTCCAAGCTGCCGGGTTCTGCATTAAGTCCTTGTGCTTCTAGGGCCGTGGCCGTGCTGGAGAGCCGCTCGCGGGGGGCAACTGGTGACCTCGGTAGGGCGTGAAGGACGGACCGGAACGCCCCCCTTCCCATGAGGTTTTAGTCGCCCCCACATCCCCGGCTCATACCTGCTGTCCACAAGGCTCCCATGTGGCCGCTATCTTTCTTTCCAGAGAGGAGAGGGCGAATGGGGCAACACCCTTTCCCCTCCGGCAGACTTGATGGCCTGGATCAACGCATAGTCCATTCACTTTTCTGCTCCAAGCTGCTGGGTTCTGCATTAAGTCCTTGTGCTTAACACCCCATTGTACTCTGTGAGGCCTATATAATCACGCCAGTCATTGTTGACTCTGCTCACAAAACCTGACTCTTGTTCTTTCTCTCTGGAATATT